GCGAAGAAAATGAAGAAAATATTTATACAATAATATAAACCATATAGAACGATATGTATAGCCGTATATGCGATAAAAAGCACCGTTGTGCAAAAAGCAACTACAAAATGGCAATTAAAACAATATGTCTTAATTGTAACTAGTAATACATAATACACATTGTTTTTAAGTTATTTGGAGAGACTAAAACGCCTTGCGAGGAGCACAAGATGCAAAATAATTGTTCTTGCAAAAGTTGTTTAGTCCAAGGTCCAGAGGGAAACGGAATTTATTGCAATACACACAATTTTTAGATTAATTAATTTCGCTAAGAAATATTACATTACTATTGTAATATTACAAGCTACAAAGGATTAATATTTTGAACGCCGCAGTGTAAGTCTTACTATGTTTGTGTGATGGAATTAAATTTTCTTCTTACTCGTATAGTGTTTGACAGAAGCGGTAAATTGTTGCTTTAACGTAACATTGAAATTATCGAAACTAAAAGCTGTTTACATTATAAAGTACCGTCATCGATGACAAACACATAAAACAAATTGACAAAATTTTAATTCGTCATTCGACGTATCTCATTATGTTTCCCTCTATACAAAAATATAATTCTCCTCAATTTTCCGTGGGATTCCAGCATTTCCATAAAACTCACACAATGCGTATTACACGTGCGCCACTATGTTAAGATGAATAATATGAAATTTCGTTTAAGAACGCTGCAAAGTACGTGTTTCCCAAAAATAGCGTAAAAGGAAAGGTTTGGAATGTATCAGTGAAAGTAGTTCCTCCTGTATCATAAAATTATGTTCTTTATTGTCCCATTGAAGAAGGTAAGCAAAAATTTGTCATCTCTAAAATGGCTTACTAAAGAATTAGTAAGCCCGTATCTGAGATTAAAATGCAGCGTATCGTGTACTGCACTGAATTCATGCTTGATCTGCTTGGAAGTATTGTCGTGCGACTGCCCCTAACACGATCTCTGCAGTGAACACACCTGCGAACAGTACAGACACATCAATATAAATTTTCATTTATTGTAACATACGATTAGCCGCTTCTTCAACATTTGTAGTCTGCTCTACAAGAACGTGCTAGTGATATCTCTGGAAAAGTTATCTACACAAAATGTAATGTGAGTCGAAATTATATCTAAAACACTAATACACTCATACTTGATAATGGATCCAATCTCTTCCATTAGTGATTATCAGACTGCGGATGACAAAAATGGATAGAAGAGACATAAAACAGTAAACAAATTTTAAAAAATTTGAAAATATTATACTCTGTTTGCATCCTAATAAATCTACTAAAAAAGTAAATTTCTAGTTCATTCCAGCTTGTTGTAAGCGAGAAAGACAATTTTTATTTTGTATAAAGCTCCACAGTCTACTGAATATCGTTCGTCAACGTTTTGACATGCTTTCTACTAATATTTCGTATGAAATGTTCCAAATGTTTGCGGTTGTCATTCCTTTACAAACTCTATTTGCATCCAGTTGTATGAAATACAAGCATAAAAGCATATTGATACTGTAAATGTACTTTCGGTCAACATTACATTTTTTGCAAACATATTAATTTTTTGCAGAGATATCGCCAGTACTTCACTTTCTCGATATGCAAGATAATTACAGGAAGGTAAAAAATGTATAAAAAAATATGCATTACTATTCGCACTCGTTATCATTGAAACTATGATTATAATACAGAATTTCAAATGGTAATTGAAAAGCAGTGAAGAACCACTTACTGATATTTGCACGTAAAACATCGGAAAGTAGATGCAGGTCGTTCTCATGAGTAACAATGATATAAGTTAATTTATTACTATTCATCTCTTGGATCTGCGCGAGGGATCTTCGCGTTTTTTCCATTGTTCCACCTGCACTCTCAATAATTTCTGCGATCGCCGATGGCGACGGTATAACACTTGGTGTTACATAAAATATTTTACCCTGCCATAAAAAATGAACTTCCATAAAAACCTTGCACAATTCATCGTCATAACAATACATCTATCTAGAGTGTTCCATTTGGAATTTATCGTTTCGAAAGGGACACTTTCTGAAGCAAGAAATCAATTTCATAAATTTTTAGAGTTAAATTTGGAACCATTTTGATCCAAAGTTAGAAACGCTTCATCTAAATTCTAATCTTCGAGCAGTCAGTATAAATTATTAGCTATTTATATTAGGTCCATTATGAGGATTATTGTTGCTTTCAAAGAAGTAAATTAAAAAATGTATTCATACATAAGAATTTAAATGAATCTATTCATAGCTGCCATAAAGTATTCCTCATAAATATTAATTGTTACCTACCATATACTAAGTAGAATAGAAAGATAAAACAATCACCTTAAGTACTGTTCCACGGTTAGGGCTTGCCAGAGCCTTTTCAATACTAAAATTAAAATTTTTCTCAAACTCTGGATCACCGAGCATATATCCACTTTCATCTAAGAACGTGTTTCTTGCGAAACAATCGAGTAACCACTGTAACGTGACAATATATTTACAACGTGATAGACAACACACAAATTTTAAAGTTCTTATCGGTGTTGACATCACGAGATGTGTAGCATCCCGCCAACTGGCAGCCATTGCACCACCTAATTCCCGAATCCTCTGTTGAGAAAATAGTGTATTATTAGAAATCATTTAACTCAAATTTATTATACACATAAATCTTTTAAAGGGATTAGAATACTGTCTTTTTAAAAAATGTAATTGTGAAATTCACAAATACAGATATCTTACTGTATTAGTCATCATTAAGTTATTAAACTGCAGATGTTTATGCACCTATGGCACATGTAAATATACTGCGCTAAAGTTCGGTTTACTTCCAGAAACCATGTTTAACAAATTTACATTTATCATTTATTACACTTGCACAGTTTATAGGGCTACAATTTTCATCGTGAAACGAAATGGAATAATAATCATGCTATACCTATTTTTCATAATTTCAGATGTAGAAGTAATGAAATTGTTATAGCTATTAAACGCTTTATTAACCCTTTCATGGTCAGTTTGTACATCTAGCGAGCAAGAGCCGTATTACTTAATTTGTTATATTTATGAAAAATTTGATCTACCATCATTTTTCTAAGACTTATAATATGTATACAATAATAAGTAATATAATCTGAATTGCATTAATATACAATGGAAGTTTGATTATTCAGACTAAGTAGAGCAACATGAATGTTTGCATAATAAATTTCATCTTTCTTAATTTGAAAAATAGAGAATTCTAATATTGGAGGATCGGATAATCGAGATACAGTTGTAGTACGAATACAATATTAAATAATATAAAAAGTACAAGATAGTTTTTGTACCATATTTTATAGTTTTAGTCAATACCAAAAAGGTTAACAAGCCCTTAATTATCTATCTTTAATTTTTAGAAGATTATAAAATAATTATTAGCAGTCAAAGTATTAACTTTGAAATATGAATGAACTTTCCGGCAGGTCTAATACTATTGTTCGACAAAGGTTTGAGTTAATTAGTCTGCAAAAGCGCGATTGTGCGTGAACATCCGCAGTCCAATCATGATTTCTGATATCCACGTTACCTTTGCGTGTTTTCTAGGATTAATACCAGAAAATAATATCCTCGGTTGCTTATCTGGAGGCGGAGGATCGGGATTACTGACAACCACGGGCTCCTCCAAGCCCAATAAATGTGGATCTTTGTTCAGCAACGGGCCGTCTAGCCGCGGTTTCTTATACTTTCTTATCGAGTTTGGACCCTGACCAACCTGTTTTACTTTATCATAAGACTCTTGGGTAATGTTTATTGGCATTTTCCACGCAGCTGAAAGGAACATCTCTTAAATAACGTTAGAAACTCGAAATGCGCGAGGGAACAGTGAGAGCTGCGACACTTTGTCTTAAAATAATGTAATCAACGATGTTCATGATACCCATTAAATGAGGCACTAGCGAATAATCCAATCTGAACGGATTGCTGAGACTGTATTGTTGATACTTCGGGTTCTCGATTTGATGCAGGGCATTCATTTGCCCGCACAGCAAGTCTGTCAACCATTGCGCATTTACTACTCCAGTTTGCCATTCCCGTGCCTTTTTGTATTTTTGACCGTCGGGTCTGAAATAGTTTTCTTCTTATCAAGCGAGACAATGATAAAGAATTATACATACAATACAATACTGTGATACAACAACAATTTGTATCACAGTATTTGCAAAGATTTGCTTAGACATTGTCTAGCAAACGAATCTGCCTAAATTAGATTCAAGTCATTTGGTCCAATTTCTCAAAAATTATTTTCTCTTAAAAGGTGTCTAAAATTCCGTTTCAGTGAGTGTTCGAAGAAACGTTACCTTCTGCAAACGAGAAGAGTGTTGTGCCGGGTAAAGTAATTGGTAACTTTCGACCCCAAGGCTTCCAGCATGTACTTGACTTTGGTGCGCTCCTCCCCTTCAAATCCAGACAACGATACAATTTGTTTCGCGCACGGAAGCTCTGTCAAGCTGAACGGTGTCGGAAAATGCAGCGCGTGCCAAGGCGGTAGTACCTGCTGTTTATTGACAACATCGGACAGCCAGTGGGCACTGACACAGCGTTTCCCTTCCCGCAACGCCTGCACCACCGTAGGGTGTTTCTGCGTGATCGCGAGCACGTGGGTGGCCCGGGTGCAATATTGCGGCTCCACTTCGCCGCCATGTCTCTCGATCACTTGTTTCCATACGGTGACGTCGTTCGGACGTTGCACGTCGTATTCAACAATAACAAAGATACAGCCTAGCAAAAATAGATCTGGTGGCACTGAAAGCACAAACAACCAAACGTTACAAGGGGCGCCGGCAATGGGACAACGGAACAGGAACTGACGCGGCAATCAACGTGTTATCACGGTTGCAATATTGTATTAAAAAACGCGCATCCACTTATAGCATTCTCGTGACAATTTTTTCTTTTTATATTTTTTCATTTGCGTTTGTCGTCATTTAACAAGATAATATGAAAGAAATAGGAACTAATCACGAGGACATGACCTCGTTCTGTTAATACTTTTTACTCTGAGATTATACTTCATTTAATCCTTACTGATCTTCAAAAGAAATTGATTAGATTTAGCTACTTACATGTGATAGATATTTATTTAGCTACTTACATTTATTAGATATTAGTATATCAATATTTACTTGCATAATTGCTTTCTCATGATCCTATCTATTATCATGTTAACTATTATATTATAACTTTCACATCAGCATTACCATGTCAATTATTAATGACATTGGAACATTATTTCATTTCAGAATGTATTTTCTATCAACCTATGTATTTTATGATGTTAATAATTAAGGACGTTATTGGAACAATATTTCTTTCCATAATTTCTTTCATATTAACTTATGAATTGTCATGTTAATCGTCACTTTAAATTGTAACGTTCTCGTCACAATCTTTTCTTCATATTTTCCAGTGTATCATGTCAAATATAAATGAAATTATAACTTTCTTGGGATAATATTCTTCGCATTAAATTCTTTCACGTCATCCTGTATCATCATGTTAAACGACGACAGGCGTCAAATTAATTTGATCTTTTTAGACGGATTACAAAATTGTGATCGTTATCTATGTGTGACATCAGTAGCGAACATGTTAATGCGTTTGAAACAGCCGATTTCAACGCGTATTTATCTATGTGCTCTAAAGTGGAAATATTGTTTGTTTAAACAATACGCATGTCAGAAAAATTCACTAGTAATAATAATAATAATAGTAACAATAATATCACGTGTATTCGCACACAAATGTCAAGGCTCTAACAATGCAGTTTCTCCGAATGACGCCAATAATAACTACGAATCGACAATCACCTTGAACAACATTGATAAGAAAAAACGAAAGAAAAAAATAACAGCTTCGATCAGCTATTTCGCGATAGTTTTTACCGTTGCAGATAAAAATAACGATTGTGTGTAAATATTCGAATACCACGAAAGTTTTTTCCGTAAAATATACACTTGCTGTTTTTAAGCAACGTGGCTTTTTTGTTAATGTTTTATTATTTTTTATGTTTCCACTTATTTGAGAAAAGCTATTTCGAATTCTCGTTGTGCGCATTAGTCGTTTAAACGAACCTAGTACACATAAGTATATCATATTTAGTCTACGAATATTTATGCTAAGTTATTATGGAAAGTCCATGAAATCTTTTATTTTTATTATTGAGAAATTTTCAGTGAGAACTTTGATAAAGTTATCTTGAATGTTTATATATAAAAACGTTGTCAACTACATAGTGCAAAAGTTTTTGAGATAGAATAGATTTTTGATCAACGTTATCAAAAAATAGGGAAACCATTGCTTCTATGATCAAAGTAGACAGAACTGTCGAGACTGAACTCTCCGCAGATCTATCTTTTTATGCGGGTCATTCGAGATTGCTTCGTTTGTAATCCTGGTAAATGAGAGGTTTGTTTCCATATTGCTTTGTAAGCAGAATGCAGGGTACTATACGTATGTATGTGAACCATTCAGGGAGTTAGGGTTTACTAGTTTGAAAACAAATAAAAAAAGCATACGTTTTAGATTTGGATTGTGTCCGTAGAACTGGGCTTTTGCTTGCGGCATCACGGGGGCGTACTGCATCTTTATCGGGGCCCCGGGCGGCGCCCCATTCGTGATGTTCGCCACGGTTCTCCGTTGATAAGCGGCAAGCAGTTGCGGGTCCTGAGACGGTGGCGGTGGTGGTCTGTGTTGGGCGGTCATTAACCTTAGCTGACCAGCAGCACTTCCTTCGGTCGCGCTACCTTGCAATCTGTTTGTCAACATATTCGCCAACGCTGTTTTCGTTTTCGCGTTGACAACTAACTGCTGGTCCGGCGATATTTGAACGTTATTGGGTAAGGATGCGAGAGGTGGTTCTTGCTGTGCACTTTGTTGCTGTTGCTGCTGTTGTTGCTGCTGTTGCTGCAAGTGTTGCAACTGCTGCAGTCTCGCCATTTGTTGTTTCTGCATGTGCAACTGGGCTATGTGTTGTGGAGTCAAGGGCTGGCCCTGTGGGAACGTCTGCCCTGGCTGAGCAGGTTGGGGACCTTGCACATTTTGCCCGGTTTGCACGATAACTTGGTTGGAAGAATTGATCGGCGTTAAAGCTGGTGGCTGAACGCCGGGGTGTACTGGTTTCTGACCAGGAGTCTGTGCTAGTTGCGGCCCTATCATCTGCGGTCTTGGCTGCTGCACCCATTGCAAGCCACCCGGTTGCACTGGTTTACCGGGACTCCTAATGACCGCGATATGGGCTCCTTGTTGTGCTTGGCGATTTTGCATCTGCCTTTGCAACAATAGGTTTTTCTGCTTCTGTATCTTCTGGATAAATTGGGCTCTTTGCTGTGGATCCATTTGTTGTAATTGTTGATGGGTTTGGGCATCCAACTGGATCAACTGTCTTGGCTGTTGAGGCGGTTGTTGAGCCCATTGTCCGCTTGGTCTCTGAGCACCGATCTGTTGCTGCTGCTGTCTTTGTAATTGTAGGTGATACTGTTGCTGTTGCCATTGTGAATCTCTCTGTACAATAAAACTCTGTTGATTTGGTCCCATCAATGGCTGGTTCGGAGGCTGTTGCTGCAACTGACCATCCCTTATAACAAATTGCTGAGAACCTTGAGGTGCGGATTGTTGTAGCTGTTGTGAAATTTGCTGAATTTTTTGTTGTTGATGCTGCTGTTGCTGTAGCAATATTATTTGTCGTTGTTCAGAGGTTAACTGCTGCGGTGGAGCTTGCTGCTGATTCAACTGATGTGTTCCAATCTGTTGCGATGGCGTTGCAATTTGTTGCTGTTGCTGTTGAAGAACTATTTGTTGTTGCTGGGATGTTAATTGCACTTGTTGTTGTTGGACCAGTTGTTGTTGAGATGTAATTTGTTGCTGCGGCGGTATGTGTTGCTGCTGAGAAAGTATCTGTTGTTGATTCAATTGTTTCTGTTGTTGCGTCAACAGCTGTTGCGAAGATGACAATTGATGTTGAGGTATTTGCGAATTCATCTGTTGCGGTTGCTGCGACATTAACGGTTGTTGCGCTCCTATTAATTGCGGTTGCTGCGTTAATTGAGGAGACGGTTGTTGATTTAAAATCTGTTGTTGAGTGTACGTTTGTTGTAATTGTGGATGCTGCGTAAGCTGTTGCGTCATTTGTTGCTGTTGCAGTATCGTATGCTGCATATTCATTTGTTGTTGTTGCTGTTGCTGTTGTTGAGATGGTACCTCTGATTGTTGTATCTGTGGCACAGATTTCATTTGGGGAACATTATTTTGTTGAGACACTTGAGGTAACCAGCCAGTTTGAGTAACATTTTGATCGGATACAGAAGACACGATTGTGGAAGCATTCGATAAACTTGTTGTAGCAGTTGGGCACGTAAGATGTAGCTGTTGCGTACTAACGGTACTTTGCCCATTTGTGGAGAAAGGAAGTGTTGCTATGGTTGCATTATTGGTATTGACATTATGCGATGTACTAGAAGCTACAGGTGGACTTGGTTGATTCCAAGGCATACGTTGTTTAAGTTGTTCCAACATGGCTTTAGTTCTGTCTTGTTCTTCTTGCGTAATATTGTTATCTGTGTCTTCATCCATGAAACCGGTAATCATAGCTGTGGAACTATTTGGATATAGTAAAAGTCTAGGGTGAAATTCCACTTCACTTATAATAGTTCCTTTTCTACAGCATTCTGTTACCCAATCTGGGGTTACAATTTGTATCGGGTGCCTTGTAGCAGTTTCATATTTGAAGCCAGCAGCCTTTCCGGCAATTAAGTGAGTGCAATACTGGTCTAAACGTAATTGACATTTACCACCTTGTAATGTGATCATTGCCCATAGACTTTTGCTATCAGCACGGCTTACCTGAGACACACATGCTCGTACATTCGAAAACAATTGTGCATCTTCGGGTGAAAAATAATGTGGCCTAGATTAATGATACTGCTAAGGAAATTATTTTCAACTATTGATACATATGTTAATGCAAATAATTATTAATTGAATTATTTTAGTGTTTATTTAACTAATGTTTAAGGATACGGTAGAAGTTTGTTACATTTAACAGAATATAAAATCCAGTTCTGTGTAACTGCTGGTATTTCATAAATATCCTTTGCAGCGGAAATATCATTTTCCAACGCATCATAGCCTGCTATTAAATGTGTAACAAAATCACTAAAATAATTCGATCTTTCCGCGCCACTTTCTTGTAGTAAATTTAATATCTGCAAAGAATTGAAAAATGCTAGTTTTAATAATAGTTGTTCCTTAGTCATTAACTGAAAACATTAATACAACTATATAAAACAAGATTGCTATTAAAAACAATTATGCATATCACAGGTACTACAAACAAAATTAGTTGTTTCTCTTACTAACTCATTCTTTCTTATAAACAATACATTGTTGCAATATGTTAGAACTGTTATATTCATAATAACAAATGTTTCATATTTTGGTTAATAAATTCACGAAACGATGCCTAAGATTACTAAACTTTTATTTCTTCGTAACAGAAACATATTACGAATAGGAAAATAAACAGTAGAAATCAAACTTTTTAAAAATCTTCTATCATGTTCGTAGAATGTTGCAATCTGTTAAAATTGACTCCATTTTATAACCTCCACCGCGCGTATTGTGATTGGTTTATGGTAATCGTGAACAATTCACGATTTATGACAGTCGCGGTGCATCGATAACAATATTGCTGGATTAATGACATTACATTAAAGGGAATAGAAAAACGCGGGAAGCGGTGAAATGACATACCTTGGGATCACCTTCGCCACTGACGTAGTATTTAACATCGGCGAACAGGGCACCATCGAGTTTTAATTCTTCGAGGCCGGCCCTTATATCGCCCATCCTTGTCAAATTGTAAGCAAAATCACGTTTCCCACATCACAAAAAAACGGCGTGTTTTCTAAAATCACTTTGAAACTATATACGATATTTGATAACAAACCTCGGCCGCGACGCTTTTGTTATTATTATGATCGTAAGGTTATGTAGCTACATCGGAATCGAACGACTGTACTTTACATTCGATATGTATCGAGATGACGTTGGTGCGCCCGATTTGAACGTCAAAATGTTAATATATAAACGTATCACAAATCAATGTAATTGTGGAATAGAATTCGATAGATTTTTCGTTTTATTTTTATTGTTCAAAGTTAAAGGATTGCTATACATATAATATATATAATAGTAAAATATACATATACGTACACAGGGTGGTCCGCCTAAATAAGGCCACCTAAATATCTCCTCCAATTGTGGGAGCACCAAAAATATCTTGTATGCTATTTGAATTGTTTGAAGAAACCATTATGTTGCAAAAAATATATTTTTTCTAAGGTCATTTCTTCCCCGAAGTTTTCAAGGTTAACGATGTTTTTTGCGCGTAGTTGTATAATTCTTTTTATTACATCGTGCAGCTGATGTAAAAATACGTTCAGATATGTACATTACATGACCTTGAAATGGCGTTTGACTTCGAAAATTAACAGGAAAATAAAAATTGTTGTCTGTCGAGACTTTAGAGGCGAAGACGACGTGAAATTAGTAGCAGCTTTTTATATCTATTGAAATGTATCAACTTAGAAGATGTTGAGACTGTATCATTTAAATAAAACCTTAAATAGAAATAAAGCTATTAAAAATACGTTCTTACAAACGTTGTTTGCTATCTGAAGTGGCATTAGCTGAAATAAATAATTTTTAATTCTTATAAATGTATAATGATGAAATCATTTATAATGTGAACAATTGTCGATTGTTGATTGGGCAATTGTTGATTGAACAATTGTCTGAAAAGACATTCTTGAAGATTAGCAAAGTTTTCGCGAAAATAATTCAGGAAAGCGGGGTTAAATTATTAACTATTATTTTTAAAAATAAGTGTAATTTCAGATCTGGTTATAACAAACTTCATTGGATTACCGATAAAAAGTCAGTAATTAATGAAAATATTAATTTATTCATCGGCGATGCCATAAATGATGATTAATATTATTATCTGTTAAGAAATCAAATTTGTTTATAAGATTTTAAGTAATATTTATTCTTGACATGAAAATTAATAAATAAATAAAGACGTATCGTGTTGATGTTATTAATATGATATTTAATACATTAAATGCCACATCGGTTGATTTTACGTGAAAAAATAAGTCGCCACTTGATCCATATTTGACAGTATAAATAAATGAAAAAATGTTACTCTATATTTTCGACTTATTCTGATCCATATTTGACAGTATGAATAAATGAAAAAATGTTACTCTATATTTTCGACTTATTCTGATCCATATTTGACAGTATGAATAAATGAAAAAATGTTACTCTATATTTTCGCCTTATTCTGATCCATATTTGACAGTATGAACAAATGAAAAAATGTTACTCTATATTTTCGACTTATTCTGATCCATATTTGACAGTATGAATAAATGAAAAAATGTTACTCTATATTTTCGCCTTATTCTGATCCATATTTGACAGTATGAACAAATGAAAAAATGTTACTCTATATTTTCGACTTATTCTGATCCATATTTGACAGTATGAATAAATGAAAGAAATATTATTCTATATTTTCGATTTACTTTTTGACGTAGAATCAGCATCTGTTCGGTTACGTCACCGGTTACATGACACCCTGCATACTTAAAAATTGATGCCATATCCTGCTTGTAGACTTTACTGCATCAAATGTGAACGCTTAACGGCCTGTAGGGTGACTAAAACAACGTGACACTTGAAAACATTGTTTACTTTATTGTATACTCTTCTTCATTCGCGGAATAGGTACATATCAGCGTCTAAAATGCTTTTCGCTGTATAGTCCATCGAAACTGTTACGCATTGTTTATTCTTTTCTGTGTCTTCGTTTTGTTCGTACTTTCGCACATTTTCTCTCACTCTCGCTCTCATCCTCTCTTTACTATCTTTTTATCTATCATCCGTTTCCTACTTCTCTCTCTCTCTCTCTCTCTCTCGCTCTCGCTCTCTCGCTCTCTCTTTTTCCNAATAAGTCGCCACTTGATCCATATTTGACAGTATAAATAAATGAAAAAATGTTACTCTATATTTTCGCCTTATTCTGATCCATATTTGACAGTATGAACAAATGAAAAAATGTTACTCTATATTTTCGACTTATTCTGATCCATATTTGACAGTATGAATAAATGAAAAAATGTTACTCTATATTTTCGCCTTATTCTGATCCATATTTGACAGTATGAACAAATGAAAAAATGTTACTCTATATTTTCGACTTATTCTGATCCATATTTGACAGTATGAATAAATGAAAGAAATATTATTCTATATTTTCGATTTACTTTTTGACGTAGAATCAGCATCTGTTCGGTTACGTCACCGGTTACATGACACCCTGCATACTTAAAAATTGATGCCATATCCTGCTTGTAGACTTTACTGCATCAAATGTGAACGCTTAACGGCCTGTAGGGTGACTAAAACAACGTGACACTTGAAAACATTGTTTACTTTATTGTATACTCTTCTTCATTCGCGGAATAGGTACATATCAGCGTCTAAAATGCTTTTCGCTGTATAGTCCATCGAAACTGTTACGCATTGTTTATTCTTTTCTGTGTCTTCGTTTTGTTCGTACTTTCGCACATTTTCTCTCACTCTCGCTCTCATCCTCTCTTTACTATCTTTTTATCTATCATCCGTTTCCTACTTCTCTCTCTCTCTCTCTCTCTCTCGCTCTCGCTCTCTCGCTCTCTCTTTTTCCCACACTCAACCGTTCTAATATATTATAACCATACATCTCCTATTTTCTCTGATCATTCTCTAAACTAACATTCACGCTGTCCCTCTCGCTCATAGATAAATAAATTATAGGCTAGTATGTACAAGATCTTCATAGATTTCCTCTCTTATTTAGTAGTCATTTGTCACTTAACAGATTTATTCATTTTGTAAAGACTCTAGAAATATTGAGCTTGGTCTGGTCAGTATACGTCATATGTATATTCCCATTAACATTTGTCGACTTGCGTGTGTGTGTATGTGTATGTGTACATGTGTGTATGTGTGTGGGCATTATGTGTGTATATACATATTTCCGAAAATTATGTTATCGATTACTTTGTAGGATCGAGTTATCGGTCTGTACGAGATTGTGGTGCATCTTTCCAGCAATATAAACAACCGGGAAATACAGGAAAGGGAAATCAAGAGTTGCGCAATTTTCAATTTTTTCTTTTTCGTGTAGCTCGTTAAAGAAAAACCGTAAAAGTCGAAATTTTGATTGTTGTAAAATTAAAACTTATCGCTGGCACGTACGATAATGTACGTGCAATAATTTCGAATTTTATCGATCTTATCAACGAAGATTTCAACGGATGCTGGATAATAATATACGGATCTGCGTTTATGTTCTATCAAGAAGAAAGCTTTTCATTTTTTTTTTACAATAATTAAGTTCTAGTTGCTATAACTCATGGAAGAATCGACTGGTACCTGGGTTAAATCGAATAAACTTCTCCGTTAGCGTGCGCGGCATGAGGATGTAAAGCTTAATTTTATCATTTCCTTTTTTAATGCTCGTTTTTGTGCACACAATTACATACTTAAGCGGGTGCTTAAGTTTTAATTTTACATATTCCAAGTATAATATCCTCTCAGGCACCTGTGATTATTTACAATTCAAGGGCTGCATAATTTTCAAGTGAAGTTTCATCGAATCCAATGTTATTTGTTTGTTCACGGTAAACAGATGGAATATTAAACGAAAACGTTTGTTATTTCAAAGTGAAGCATTTCTATTTGGATCGCCGAACTCGAACGAAAAGTGTTATCGACGTAATTACGTCGACGCGAATGATGTTCTTCTCTAAAGAGGATAACTATACTTAGCCAGTTATTGTGCTTGTTAGATGACAAAACAAACGGATAAGATTCTCCTAATTGAAATTATAACGTGCTGTTTGCGCGTGGACAGGAAATATTGAGCTGGAACTTGGGGGGTTAACGGTGGCAAGAGTTCGAGGGGGCAACAAGTATACTTGAGCCGATTATTTTGAAAGTGGCATAAGTCACTTTACCGTAATGAAAAGCGGTGATTTTTTAATGTTTATACGAAATTATTTATACTGAGAAAAATATCAGTATCCTGAGATAACAAATACAAGTAAATCTTCTCGAAAGTTAGCATCCATATTTTTAAGCGTGTTAAAACGCAAACCGTTGAATATATCGACTTAAAAACAAAGTGACTTATGCCACTTTCAAAATAAACGGCTCACTTGTCGCAATCATTTGTAACGTAAAGTGCAAGGGTTGAAACCCTTAATCGTAACACAGTTGCAATTTTACCTTTTTCTTGCTTCGAAAGGTCAATCAGTTTATGGGGAAACGACCGCAACTTTGATTATCTTTGCACCATGTTCGAGACGTTGTAAATTCAGAGAAATTGGAAACCATAAACAATGCTCGACTCGAGCTCTAATTAACCCCTTAACGCACAGTTTTCTTTTTTGGAAAAAACCGGCCAAAAAAATCAATTTTTTTAAAAATGTAAATTGTTCCATGGAAAAAGGCTATATTTTATTCTTGAATATATAAGTGTTATAGCTTGCAATCCCATGTAAATGATAAATATCGATGAAACGATTTTTTTCTCTTTGCTTTCACATTGTTATTTTCAATTCTCGATTATACTCGATTGTGAAAAAATTGTAGCAGCATAAAATACAACGCCGCTCGAATTATCTCGAGTGTGCACAGTTTGGCCTGTTTAGCGCGCTCGAATTAACTCGAGCGTACAAGTTAAGGGGTTAAAGACTTTTAGAAGTCGAGGAAGAACAACATTGGTAAAACATTCTTTCTCGAACAGAAATATCGTTAGAAATTTTGATACATCTCGAATCCAATAATTAACATCCAAATTTTTTTTCAAGACGATCTTTTCGCAAATGTTATTAGCTTGAATCAAGATAAAAGAATTCTAATGAAATTCAATCGTTTTGGAATCTTTGCTTTCAATCAGAAAATTGTTTATCGCGCTCTTTGATACAATGGAGCACTTTCGTTATGAAATTTTGTTCGGTAATAATTTGTAAATAATTTCACAAATTAGATAACTCAACGTACTTGTTAATCGTTTAATTCGTTAATAATTCATGGATTATTCTATAGCGTTCGATTTGAACGCTTTAGAATAGTATAATATAAATTAAAAAATAAAATAAATTATATAATAATAACAATAAATTAATTATTAATTATTATTATTGTTAATTATAACAATATAATATATAATTATTAATTAATTATAATAATAATAAAAATTATCATTATTATTAATTATAATAATAATAAAAATTATTATTATTATTAATTATAATAATAATAAATAATAAATTATATATATATATTGCAGAATAGAATTTCTATTCTATCTAAAACGTTTTCTTGCTCCAAAATTGATTTCCCGTCGCCCGAAATCTGTAGCTCTCGAATAAAAAGGACGCGATAAAGAAAATCCGATGTCAGATTTGGATTCGATGTAACGAAATTTCAAGGTCGCGTGTTCGTTCGGTTACCTAGGGTGGAGAACAGTTAGTCAAGCGATGCGGCTGGCAACGATATATCTGGTGCAAAATATTTGTAAATTTATTTGATACAGGCAATAGTTCGTGAGGTAATGTCATTCTCATATGGTGTCTCATAATTTGTAATATAACGGAAAAACGTCTGATTTATACCATTCAGAAATAAGTCGGGCATAGAAATTGTCTGCGCGAGGTTTACCGTTCGAGAAAACATTTTAACAATGGAGAAGTCTACGATAAAAATATATATGTATATATATATTGTACTTCCAAATATATCTTTGATCGATTTAGTAACGTAAACTATTTGTAAAATCCTATTAACAACTGCTTTCATCGACTGTAATATCCTTTGAAATACTTCCTTGGTTATTCTCTAAGAAGTCGGTTCACTGTATGAATTTCATGATTGTTCAAACAGCGAATAAACATTTCACAGATAACTTACGATACAGATATATATATGTATGTATATACAGGGTGTCCCGAAAATGTCTCGTAATACGGAAATGGGAGGTTCCTGAGGTCATTTGAAGCAACTTTTTCCTTCGCGAAAATGTTCTCCGAGGCTTCGTTTACGAGTTATTAACGAAAAACACTGACCAATGAGAGGCGAGCTCGGCTGGCGCGCGGCGGCCCAGCCAACGAGTACACGGAGTCCAGTTCCGCTCACTGGCTCGGCCGTCTCGCGCCAAATGATCTCGCCTCTGATTGGTCACTGTTTTTCGTTAATAACCCGTAAACGAAGCCGCGGATTGTATTTTCGCTAAGGAAAAAGTTGCTTCAAATGACCTCGGGAATCCCCTACTTTCCGATTGCGAGACATTTTCGGGACACCCAGTACATTTGAAACGTAATATGTATAGCAATTGCTTCGTACGCTACATTGTTATTTGTAGAGTAACATATTTTTGTTTTAGTGGAAGAGAAACAACGAGAAGTAGTGAACAAGCAATAGAAAAATAGAACAATTGATATATGGAAATAAACTTGATCATTTAATCTCAGTATTCCAGCATCCTGCGTTGCATGAATTTTCGTTCGTTCATATTAATGTATGATATTTTTTTAAAAGAGTTAAGCGACAAATATTTATTAAATAGTTCGTATCTTACTATTTAACAAGAGGATTCGTTATGCACGTTTTTTTTGGCTTATTCGCGCCGAAAGAGAGTTAGTTTAGCTATTAATTGTAAGTTCATTAAGTGTTAAAAATGTGAATCGATACGATCTGGCGATTTGTAAAATAAGTTTACACATAATTATCAAATTAATAAATAATTGATAAATGAAACTTTAGATCGAAAACAGGACGGTGTATATTTTTGCATTAAAGAGACGCAACGTCGAAAGGGATACCACATTAAGGACAATTTATACTTCATTAATGACGTTAACGAGTAGTGTTTCATTTCATTTTGCTTAATGAACAGATCAGTAAGATTTTTATCAACTTTTCTCCTGTACTGGACCACTTTAAATCCTTTCGAAAATTAATTTGTACTTCGTTTTTATAGCGTAGGTGTCAATTTTTTTAAATTGCACTAACACGGAGTAAAGATTATAAATTTAATTAAGTTGTTTTGAAACTTTTTTCCTCGTCATGTCCAAATGTTATTTTTACAACAAAATTATACGACGTATAATAATATACTAATATATTATAATATATAATATATAATATAATACTAATATATTATATATAATAATATATAATTATAATATAATATACATATTATACATGCAATATTATAATATAATTATAATATATTATACTAATATATTATATATAATAATATATAATATAATAAATAACGTATAATATACTAAAAATTCAGTGATCAGTAACTGAGTTATCGATAAACAAGTGACATTGTAGATAACAATTTCTTCATAGTTTGTGTATGTTCCCTATTATTTATACAGAGAGATACACAGATTAATCAACAAATTCTACTCTACCTTATTTCTGAATAAGAAATCACACTGTTTTCAGATATATCAGGAATCATGAGACACTGTGTACAGTAGGGTGGATCTTATTTTTCAATCGTCAAATTTTTTTTCGACACCCTCTAGAATCGCGGCACTGACTGAGAAAACATATATGCGCGAAAATGAATGAAAATTAATATTTTTGCTACTAGTCTTTCGAGTGACCTATATCTTCAATATACATTCTCATACATTGTTGTGTTTGTATCTTATTAATATACGTAGAAACAAAATATAAAACCACTTTGAAAAATAAATCGTGATTTTCAAGCTTCAAACGGTCTCAAGAAAACATTTTCTTTGGAATCTTCTTCACTTCGTTGAACAATACAATTTTTGTCTGAGAAATTTTGTCATCTATTGTGCGGATAACAATAATATTAAACAAATTAAGCGAAAAGCATTTCAATGAGAAGATCTGTATGAATGACTTATCGCAAAATTATAATTGCTATGGTGGACCTGTAAGTACCTATATCTGAAGAAAAAACAGTAAATTAAAAAATAAATGAAACGTTGCACCTGACTTAAATTTATCATAATCCGAATGTAAAAGATTCAATATTGCTTTTAAGGGGAAAAAAGGGATGATTATTATTTTGTTAATTATTTCGTTCTTTGTTTACGTTTCTTCCCTGGCATTCGTAAAATTACTTCTACACAGTAACGCGCTATTTATAGTACAATAAGAATATATGATGTAAACTTGGTTGGTTTATTTAATAGAAAATAAATTCCAGTGTAAGCGGATTACTAAAACTAGAAATAAACCATGATTATTTTCTCGAAAGTGATCTCACATTTTGTTTGTATATTGTCAAAGAAGAAAAGCAATAAATTCATCAGCTATAAAAACGTACACATAATATCGACATAGTACAGGTGCATTGTCCAATGAATTTCAAAATTTCACATAGACTATTTTCTCACCTAACAGCAGACTCTTAAATGGCGTCCGAGAAAAAAAATTTCAAGATGAATTTTCGTCAAGCGTTGCTAAGGTCCAGCCTAGTGTACAGTCGCGAGGTTATCGGATAATTTTAAATTCGACTAATCTAGCTTGCGAGAGTTGATCTACAGGGTGTCCCAAAAATGTCTCGCGATCCGAAAACAGCGGATTCCTGAGGCCATTTGAAGGAACTTTTTCCTTTACAAAAATCTTCTCCGAGGCATCGTTTACGAGTTATCAACGAAAAACCGTGACCAATGAGAGGCGAGCTCAGCTGGCGCGAGACGGCCGAGCCAATGAGCGGGGCTGGGTTTCGCGCGCTCGCTGGGCTGGCGCCGCCTCGCGCCAACGGAGCTCGCCTCTAATTGGCCAGCGTTTTTCGTTAATAACTCGTAAACGACGCCGCGGATCGCATTTTCGCAAAGGAAAAAGTTGCTTCAAATCACCTCAGGAATCCTCAGGAATCCTAATTGCGAGATATTTTTGGGACAGCCTGTATTTCTTTGGTCCTTCGTTAGGACGCCCAATACAAACTTCACAACGGAAAACAAGAAAAGGAAAGCGACGACTCACCGGCATGTTAATAGTTACTGTTCGAATCAACATAACAAATACAGTAATGTCTCTCTAATTGTCGCTCGGATCGTCCAGAAGAATGGACAATTAGGGAAGCGGAGACACGATTATGCGAGCCTTGCGGTTCATTTTTACAGTCACGAATTGTCAAGAATTATTTAAAAAAACGAGCTGCAAAGCTCAAATAAATAATCGCGTCTGCTTCTTCTAAATTGTCCATTTTTCTTTCCAAGCTGAGCGTCAATTAGAGAGACATTACTGTACACCGTTACCGACGGATGTCGTGCAACGTGTTCAGATGGACATCGCGTTCTCGTCCGTCATCAACGACATCCGAAAGGATCCGCAAAACGCGTTAATTATACGTCAAGTCTTCGATAATGGATATGAGTATCTAAACGCGCGTAAGTTTGAATCGCTGAACCTTAAAAATATCCGAAAAGAAACGATCCTGCGTCTTTACTCGCTAGTTACAATTACCGTGTGTATGCATTCTACTTTAATCTCGCAAAATTATACAAGTCCCTTCAAGCGAGAGAAAAAACACACAAACCGACGACGACTAACGAACGAAAGAAAAACAAAAACGGTCGTTCTCGCCGTGAACGAAAGGAAACGAAATTGATCAAGAAAGAAGATAAGCACGAGGAATATCTTCATAAACGAAAAAAAGAAAAAAAGAACGAACGCAGATGAGTGAAAGAAAGTGGCATGATTCGGCAGTCGAAGGCTCGCCAGGAAAGGTCCTCGATAGAAAGAACGAAAAGCGTTTTTTAAGATCAACACACACGCGGGGACAGGGGGTGCGAATAAACCGTGAATTACATGTGTACGTAAGGATCTTACAGGCGTAAAACTTCTTAGTCGACAATAGATGGCCAGGACGATATAAATGGAACGATCTTTTTTCATTTTTTCCAGGCTAGAGTTTCGATTACATCATAGTCTCGCTACAACTGGTCAAACTATCAAAGTCTAATTGTAAATAAGGGCAATCCTTGTCGCAAAAAGTCGCGGCGCCGGCGCTGGCCGGCCCGTTACACCAGCCCTTCGGGTGTAACGTGTTCGTGAGGTAACATAGTACGTCTAGGATCTCGTTAATGCGCTAGGAGCCCGGGCTGGTGTTTTCGGTGCTCCTCCGTCTCGCCTCGAGTTCCTGAGCGAGCATCGTCACCTCCCAATTATTGTTTCCACCCTCGTGCGACTCCTCCTCGTCGTCGTCCTCGTCGTTCCCGCTGTCGCTTCTGTCCGGCCTGTCGTCGAGCTCGTCCTCCGACCGGCTGCTGTCGCTGTTCGATTCGAGATCGATCGCCACCTCGCCCTTCCACAACGTCTGCGGCATGATCGAGCTCGGCAACTCTTGGAGCTCCAGGGTCTCCTCCTCGGAGTGCTCCTCCCACGACCTCCTGTGCTGCGAGGTCGACTCCGTGCAGTGGGGCGAACGCGTGTAATGGGAACGGGCGGTCAGTACCGTGTCCACCGAGCCGTCCCTCATGAAAGGGTGATCCTCGCGGTCGTCGTCCAAATCCTCCTCCAGCGAGGCGTCGTGCTCCGTGCTGTCCCCGAGCGACTCGTCCGCGTTCTGCGACTCCCTCTGCTCCAGCTCTTGTATACGAGCCTGCAGCTGAGATATTATCTCGTCCCGCTTGCGTATCTCCAGCTCCAACGACGTGAACTGCCGACCGAACTTCGTCTGTATGTCCTCCTGAAATTTCGTTCGTCGACAGTGATTAACGAAAATATCGGTCACCGAGGACTTGTTTTCTTTTTCTTAAATTTCTCAGGGACTAGCCGTGAACATTATGATATCTAGGGGATCTTGTTAAGAGGTTAATTGTGTTACAGTGTGATGAGCTTTTGTTTAAAATTGTTCAACTGTTTGTTGCACTGAATTTTTAAATATTGGTAAAATTGTTTAGTCAGAAGAATCTTCGATTCTGAAAGGGATTATTCTATTTTATTGTTCTATTCTTTTCTGTACGTTTCTTTCTACAGGGATAATGATTATACATATATTATAATAATATATAATGATAGTAATATATTATAATAATATATTATAATAATATATAATAATAATAATATATTATAATAATATATAATAATAATAATATATTATAATAATTTCTTTTTCTATAAATTTATTTCTACGT